TTACTGTTTTACTGATACTATATGATTTAGGCCTACATATGTAAGTTAGTATAAGTCATGTCAAGTTTCCATTTTGTTTGTCAAGTCTCTAACTTGTCCCCATGCCCTGTTGTGCAAGTGTGTTGTAACCTATAACTCATACCTACTCCTCCTGTGTAATTTGGCTGTTGAATGAATGGGGATGAATGAGGGTGCTTGAGAGACAGTGGCAGTAGGTCTAAAAATAGCTCCTTCTGAATGACCAAACCATCAAAACCAATACCTGGACCAACTACACAGCCATTGGAACCACCCTCAGCATTCAAGAAACAAAAGATGAGGCAACCCACCGTTGTGCCAAGGCTGCACATGCTCAGTAAAAACATGCGGGACCCTCTGGAACAGGACTGGCATTGCCTGGACATGCCCTGCCCACAGGAGATCATAGGTAGTCTGCCCCATAAATAGGGGTAGTGAAGACTGACTCTTTGGGACACCATCTCCATCTGGACCAGCACCACGCCACACCACCTATCCACCCAGAGGCCCTGCCAGCAACCCGCTCTGGACAACACCTACTGGACAAAGACCCTTTTCCAGCCTGGATAGGTAGCTATCACCTCCACACCCTTGGACTTGGACTCTGTTTCTCTTCCCTACTTGGACTCCAACCCTTCCACTGAGTCTCTTTCTCCTGCTGCCATTGTGTGTGTGTGTGTGTGTGTGTGTGTGTGTGTGTGTGTGCGCGCGCCTAATAGATTTTTGTGTCTGTGTATGTGCAATTGTACACCATGCCCTCCTGTCTAACAGTGCGATATTGAGATCCTGAGTGTTGGCATGACCCCACAGGGCAACAGTTCTCAAACTTCCACCCCCATGGGCCAGATGAATGGCATGGAGCGAGTGTGCAGGATAGATCCTGTGCACAGGCTTGGTGTGATCTGGTTTGCTGGCTCGGTCACATGTGTGGTCCAATTTCACATGCTGGATCCAGCTGCACACCAGCCTAACCTCATGCCAGCCCAACCCCACATGCTGGACCTGTCTGTGTGCTAATTCAATCCCACACACCAGCCTGACCTTGCATGATGGATCTGGCTGAGTGACCCCATGTGTCAGCACCATCCTGTGCATCAGGAGAGCCACTTCATCTGCCTTGTGGGGCTTCCCATAGGACTAGAAACTTGGCAGCAGGGGAGAGGCAATTGACACTGCCAATGCTCCCCCACTGCCAAACTTTCAGATCTAAGGGGAGACCCCTCTGGCCTAATGATATCACCTCACATAAAGCTGGCTCATGGTCTGAAAGTAGAGCATCACTATTTTACACAATGGTCTCCTCTCATTGATATGTGGAGTAGCACGAGTTCTGGGGAAGAGAGCCTTGCACGGCCCTCCTTCACTGAGAACAAAGAAGCTGTGATAAGCAGCTTTCAAAGGAGCAAATCATGTGAAGAAGAAATGTAAAAGGAGACAGAAGTGAAGGAGATCCTCAGAGTTGTGGCTTTCTAATCCTACCTGAGTTATCCAGCATCTTCCTTTGAATAATAAACATTTTTATATGTAAAGGAGAGAGCTCTAATTGTATTAGGGCCTACTCCACCTATTAGTCACTTAAGTGTGATCTTACTCCAAGTTCCTGGAATCCCTAAAACACTGTTAATGTAAAAGGTAGGGTGGATCTTCCCCTTTCTTGCTACTTTTTTGTGACAGTTTTCAAGCTAAGATGCCAGTAACAGTGGATTTTCAGGGCCTTTAACAGGGTGGAAGAGGATCACACCTGGGCCATTATCATCACTTATACACCACACAGTAATTCTAGAGTAAGAGGTTTATAACCATGACATATAGCTATAGCCAGGCATTTTGGTGCCCAGCACATGTCAGGTGCAGAGCACCCCATACCATGTTACTACATAACATTACTTCCATTTGGTTTGGCATCCCCATGCAAAGGCACCTAGTGCCAGTGCACTACTGGCATTGCCTTGCTACGGTACTGAAACTACAGAGGTAGTTTTCTATTTTATTGTCTGTGGACTGAACACATCTGTCAAGATTTAAACAGTAATGTATTCTATAAGGCAGTGCATGATTGAATGAGTACACTAATAAGTAAGTGATACTCTGGATACATACATATCTCCAATGTGAATTCTAGATTAATTTTGTTACCAAAATGTTTTCAAAAAACCCCCCAAAAAATCTAAAAACAGGCTTCTTAATGCATGGGTTAAAAATATGCCATCTGCAACAATTTCCTACCGCTATTTTTAATGACAATTTTCAGTCTAATGGGATTTCTTTCAGCTTAAGACTGATTTTCCCACCAGACTGAATTTAACATTTAACCAGTTTTATTTAAAAATTATTCATCATGGTGGCATACATCCAAATGAATGAAAATGATCTTTTCAAAAGGCAAATATTGTTCTACTGAAATTCAATAAGGGATAAGTATTTTGAGCTAGTTAATACAATATATTTTACAACCTTGTGGTCTATAATGCAAATATGTCCCCTTTCCCAGGCACACACATTGAGAGAGAAACAGGAATTCCCTAGTTACATGGCCTCTTGTTCATCTAGTTTACAACCTACTTAACACTTATTGGAAAAAGTAGTAAGTCTGATATTGACACCTACACACACACAAATCGCCTGTGATAAACAAATCAATCTTTAGCAACTGTATTAGCAGTTAAATACATAACATGGAATTATATTAACTGGATTAAAATAGACATTTTGAGCACAATGATCAGTTTCTCATTTATGGTAAAGCACTAATGAATTACATTTGCACTCATTATGAGTTGCCTTTACATTGTCAGTGCAGTGTAGACTGGCCTAAGGCTAAGTGAGGAGTTAGCTCATGAGAACTAAATTACAACCCTGAAACGTGAGAGCTTTAAACAAACAACACTTATGTACTGGACTAGGAGTGTCCTGCATAGAGTACCTTCCCTTACACTTCTGTTGGATCCACAAACACAAAGAAAGGTGCCTATTAAGGCAGTGATTAATATTATTAAATAAAAAGGGTTTAAGAGGCAGATTTCATCAGGTTCTCTGAACGGGGAACAAATATAATGTCATATTGACATTTCATAATTGGCATTTGTTAAAATATGCATGAAATATATCTGGAAGGAAAATCTTATCAGGTTTTCTTTCACCCAGGTACTAATTTGCATCACTTAGAAATGGAAATATATTAAAGGACACTTACGTTGCCGAATATTCAAAAAGACCATAATAAGGATTAAACATTTCCTTGGACAACAGAAAGAACCATTCTCTGGCCACACCTCCATAATCAAGTCCTTTTTCTGATTCAAATTCAATCCAGAGCCTGGCTTTTAATACATCAGGTCTCTTCACGGACATGATTCTTCTATAGGACTCCTCAAAAATATTATTTCTGTGGAGTTTCATCTCAAATCTGTTCGGTATATCAGCCTACATTAAAGGAAAAATATCATTAACATTAATCTGGTCTTTATGCAAGTGGCAGTGGAAATAAAAATGATAGTAAAAAGAAGGTAAGTATTTCCAGAGCTTTCCCATTCTACAAGATGCTGGCATTTTGTCACTCCTAGAATCCATCATCGTTCTTTAGTTATTACTCACCTACACCCTCATACCTGCATACCAGAAGCAGGATAAAGAAGCAAGAAAGACAGAGGAATATATTTCTGAGCCCTATTTTAAGAATATCTTAGTTAATAAAAGGTAACACAGCTTCAGAGAACCTAGCCAATCATAACTGTGAAGACCACAGCTGCATAATGAAAACTGTTACAATGTCATGGGGAGTGCAAATTTGCATTATCACAATTCTCACGTTTGGGAGCTTTGCTCCAATATATTACAGCTAAGGCCAATCATTATTCCAACAAGCAGCTGAATTTAGACATGGCCAAAGAGAAATGTGGATGTAAGGAGGGGGAATAAACAGAGTAGAAATAAGGTGGGATACAGACAAGTGGCAGGAGAATGCAAAAGAAACTGTCAGTTTCCTGAAACAGATCTCTCTCTGCCAATCACATTTTTATTGCATCCAAGAACTCAATGCTATTTAGAGCCCATGAAATGCTGCATTTTAACATAGTGAAAGAAACACTGCCTCACAAGTAGGAATGCATATTTAAGGAGCTGCTGATGTACAGGAAAAGAATATCTATAGGCCCCCTGTGACATGTTTGTCTGGGGCTGTCAAAGCTCTAAGACTATTACCAAGCTAATCAATACCACAGGAAGTTAAATATTGAGCTCTTGTCTCTTTCATTTTATTAAGACTTCTAGAGCTGGTGAAAGATGGTACTTAGGAACAAAAGACTGGAAGAGGGCCTCCTGAAGTCCTCTTTATTCACTAAACACGTGCTCAGCAAAACAGTGGGAACACAAGTTCTGACTGTCCTTGGAAAGACAACTGCTGAGACTGAAGGAGTAGTACAAGTCCTTGTGTCCATTTACATTTGAGCATGCCAAGAGGAAAACCAATTAATCTCAACTACGATGATATGCTTTGAGAGGCAGTATTATTTGTTACTGCTTCTTTGCTGCCTCATAACTTCACCACACAATTTATAAACAGAAACCTGACTCAAGGGCTCAGTATCAGTTTTGGGTGAGGGGGGAAAAAAAAGAGAGAGATTCCGTGATCTGTACAGGAAAACTGCAGTCTGTTTTGCTTGTTCTTATTTAACTACTTTGTTAAGATAAAGTAAAGAAAACAGGAAAAGGTATTGCAATAGAGTGCCACGGCAATTATCATCTGTTCTTTGGGCAGTCATTTATATTTTTCACCTCTACCACAAAATAAGCATCTCAAATACAAAAATAAGCATCTCAAACACAGAATGGACAATTACTCACTGGTTTCTTTAATTTCTTTCTGAAGTAGTCATATTTCTGTTTGAACTCTCTGGAATAGGGAACAGCCTGGCAGAGAGAAAATTAAAAATACAGATCATGTAATGCATCTTGCAATCTAATACCTTGCATCTTCTACAAATGTTATCTAACAATACCCACAAGTTTAAACACATGCTTTTTTCTTCAGCATGATTTGTTCCAAACATGTTTATTGCAGAAAGCATGTGAAGTGCATGCAACACAATGTCTCCTTTACACTGGTGAAACTAAGGCAGAGGTTTTCATAGAATCAGGTATATTTTGCCTCAATGATTTACTGTAATGAAAGACCATCCCTAGTTTTAAAGAAAAGTGTGAGGGAATAATCAAAACGGTCCAAAAATAGGATTCACTGACGCAGACAATGTCCCATTTTAAGAAGCCATAGGCATGCTTTTATATAGCTGCTATCATAGAACAGGTGCATCAACAGTGGTCTGGCAACATTGTCCTAGGATTTGTACGAGCGGTAAGGCACAACCCATTACTGAAGTGCTCACAATAGAAGGGCATGATACAAAGTCCACAGAGTCCTTCTATACATGAATGATGCATGCCCCCGGTGACTGTGGGGGGCATGGCAGCAGCGGGAGCGTGGCAGTGGCAGCACTGTAGCAGTGAGCTGGGAGGTTCTGCAGACGCCTCTGGCGCTGCCAGCGGGGGGGTGGAAGCGGGGGGGTGCTGAGCACTGACCAAGGGTCAGCGACCAGCCACAAATGCCACTGGCGGTGTCGACGGTGTGGTGGCAAGTGGTGACTGCCTACAGGTACCACCGACAGCGTTGGCAGCACCTTTTTGTGGGGGATGCACCACCACACTCAGGGGATGCATGTACACCCATGTGTACCCCCTACACATCACCCTTTTTTCTATACGCTCCACTGCCTTTTGGATCAGGTAGACAAAATCATTAGAAAACCAAAGTTTTATCCTCATTTTGCAGATGATGTCTTTCAAAATGAAAGAGAGAGCACAACCTGGGGTTCAGTGAAATTGTGATATTTGTGGCAAGTGATCTTTGGGTATGTTTACGTGGCTGAATGCAATGCCTCGCAAGAAATTTACAAGTTCACACATTCACAACGTGCTATCCTAGGTACAGGAAGCACAACCACATTCACATGGTGCTGTTCAGTATCTAATTCCTAGATGATATGAGAGCCAATAAAACTATTTACAACATTATTTAAACAAATGCCTTCATGCCAAGAATCTCAAACATTTTGCAAAATAATTTATTCCATTCATCCTTCTGGGGTAAGCAAATGATACTGCAAAATACTAGCCCTTTTGCACCATTATGGTGCAGACACCTTTGAAGCAGAACATATTTCCTTGGTGACAGCTTAAAGCTGAATAGAAAAGGATAAAAGTGTAAAAACTAAAATAGGAGAAAAATTTTGGCAGGGCAGAGTGCAAATTTGGAATCTGACATATATTGCCCTGTCCCACAGGAAGTGACAAAAGATCTCGTCATAATTTGTTTAGCTCAACTTATAATGGTCAAAAGGCCTCCCTTTTGAGATTCTAGGATTTTTTTAATATGCAATTCATGATGAAGAAAGGGTACAGGGTGAATTGAATGCAAAAGTCAGAGGAATTTTTCTATACATAGACTTTTCAGCTAATGACATGAGACCCCAAAACATGTAGTTGTCTCAGCCATAATGGTAAGGCTAAAAGATCTAATTCACCATCCTTACAATTTGCAACTACACAGTCTTCAAACACAGAAGCCACGAAGAAAAAAAAGCTTTGAATTAAAAAAATCAAATAGGTTGTAGTCATGGTAGTCACGTTTCTGTGCGGACAAGTTTCAATATCTTCCCATTCTCCCCAAGACCTGTATGTTAAGGTAATTTACTTAGGCATTTAAGGAGAGAAGGAATAGAAATAGAAAGGTTCTTAGCTTTAGGATTTCATAACACGAAAAGAAAACACAGGATTTTCTATCACATCATTAGCTTGCCTTTGCCCTGCTAGTCCTTCAGGCCAAAGAGGACACCTATCAAAATAGTTGAGACATAAACATGGAACAACTATAACCATTTGAAGTACGCCCTCATGGGGCAGAAAAATTGTTACATTCCACAGTGATGCGCATTCTTTGAAGGCTACACTGCAAACTTCTGAAGTCTGGTTCAGGTCAACACTTGTTAGTGTGTTTATCACTGTCTGGATATGGGTTGAGGGTGGGAGTGGACAAAAAATTACACTAAACTCAATTTCACTAAAATCACTTGTTATTGACCATATTAATTTAATAAAATTACAATGGAACCTCACTGGCTTAAAGGTATCATCAACTCTAAATCATGACCCAAGGGCCACTGCTATTCCAATCAAATTTCTTCAGCCTTCCTCTTGAAAGATCTTAAGGGGTGGAATCCTGATGATCTATAGAGTAGTGAAAAGGGAAGGGCTGAAAATAAGTTAGCTTATTAAATGTTTTGAAAATATTTGAGGAGAGTAAAACTATTTATTCGTTTTCCTAAGGCTGAACATTGTTCTGAAAATAATTTATCTGAAATGATCCTTCTTGAACCTAACAAGCCCTACCCTCCTGATCATGATGTCTAACCCCAACGTCCCACACCATTCTACCACTCCTCTTCCATAACAAGACACAGGCTTTTTTGTTAGCTATAATGCCTGTAAATGGATACTGTGATTTGTCAGCTCATGACATTTTCTGTCAGAAATGACCACCATAGGGAACTGAAGATTTTTTTTTCTACTCACATTTCCAGACTCATCACAATGGGAGATTTCCACATAAATCCACATCCCTGGGGCCCAAAATTCTGAGAATTCAGAGCAGACGTGGATGGCACAGGATTATTTTGCTCACATGAACATTTGAAAAGAGTCACCCTTTTCTCAGATTTCCTTTAAAAGTTCATAGACTAGAATGCTTCAATGAAAGTGAGTGGCCATACCATTTGGGTTTGAATAAGATGAGTACTGGTGTATTAGGGATCTTTTCACATCAATCAGAATTTTTCTAGCGCATTAATAAAACTGCAATTTTCAGTACGAGCTATAGTATACCGTGGTGCTTTTAACTTGCCTTTTGGCTTTTCAACAGACTGCCTCACCCTAAATTAGGTAGTTCTACACTGTACCATGAAAGTGAGTATATATAATTTAAATTGAATGGAGTAAAAAATAGGAAGCAAATGAATAATCTCTGAGGGCAGAGATGCAGGTTTGCCTACTAAGGTATAAACTGAGGAGAGTGAGAGAAGGGGAGAGACGCACATACACACACACGTGCACACAGAGACAGGCAGACACAGACTGCATTTTAATATTTGAAAGATGGGAGAGGATAGAGGCAGGGAGTCCAGAAAAGGATTTCAGAGCGAGTTACTGCTGATAAATATATGTCTTTGTTTATATTTTCAATGCCTTTTTCTTGATGCTGACAGCAAAGTAACTATGCAACATTAAATTGGCTATATAGCTTCTGTCTCATTGCTACAACAGATGGTTTCAACAGTGGAATTCTGCTTTGGAAAAGGGTATTCTTGTCTGATGGACCACCTTAATGCTAAGGCTAGGTACAGACATTCAAAAGGCTGAGGTGGAATCAATCAAACCTTCGTGGGTTTCTCCAAGCTGCATAGATTGGATCAGGAGTGAACAGAACAGATGTTCGCCCTCTGGGGTTGGGAGAGGGCACAAAGATGCCTGAGGTGGCCTAGGCCAGCAGGCTGGGGACACTCCCGTATGCCTCCCAGTTTGTCAGAGCCAAATGCAGCTGAATGCCTGTTCACCCCCGACTGCCTGTTGGGGACACCCCCAAGCCACTGCTGTTAGCTGCAGGAGGGGGGCAGCCAGCACAGAATCTCTCCTCAGCTGCAACCCCCTGCTAGTAGTCGACTGCCAGTGGCAGCAGGGGTAGGGGGAGGAAACAGGCCTCCACCACGCAGACCCAGCCAGAACACTCGGGGGAGGTTGGTGCATGCCAGGAGCCTCACTTCTCCCCCACTGCCTGGCCAACACGGCTTCTCTCCTCAGCTCCACCCCCCCCGTCAGCTGTCAGCAATGGGAAAGCGGAGGATCCCACCCCAC